GAAGTAATTTTATAAAATGAGACTTACAGTCCTCCAAGAACAACACAAAGAGCTGATATGAAAACGCGACCACCACTTTCTCCTCTATTAGCAACGAGTACACTCCCTGCCCATGATTGAAATGCCCACGACACATATATCATTCCCATACTTCCTAACAACAACCCCTTAGTAAGCCCTTGTTTCACACCAAGATTCAAACTTTCCTCAAGACCAATGCTGAATCTTTTTAGTGTTTCATTTTCCCCAACATAAGAGTAAACTGTCCGAATCGATGAAATTGCTTGTTCTGCTACACTCCCTGCTACTCCATAAGCATCCTTCATCTTCATTCCCTGGATCATAAGTAGCTTCCCAAATGCTACACCAGGTATAACAAAACCAAGTGAAAATGGAACTGAAGCTAATGCTAGTCTCCATGAGAGGTAGAAAGCAAGAATAAGTCCAAAAATGAACGTTGACAGATGAGCAATACAATTAGGTATCTGCAACAAAGGAGAAAATGTCCGTTAATTTAAAGCATGCCCGATCACTCAACTTTACCTACTATAACAATGAAATCACCTGGATTAGTAGATTTTGATCGTTATAATGGATGCATTTAGTAAAGTTCAGTGATCATACGCGAAACTAATTAATCTAAACTCAGAAACACAGAGTAAAAATTACATATCTAACTTGAGAAAGAATGATATAAGACCTTCTCTGCTATAGCATCTTGTATTGAATGAGCATCAGCTGAAATTGTGGAAACAACTTGAAAACTAGTGCTAGAGGAACCATCTTGTTTATCAAAGAAACTAACTTCTTGCCTAAGCACTGATTTTAAGTACTCCATCCTTATTCGACTCGTTTGTCTCTCTGCACTTCTTGTCCAACAGATTCCCCCTACATATCATTACGTAATTTAGAACACAGTATCTTAAAAAGACTAGAATCTCAAACTCATAAGGTTCAAATCCCGACTCTAATTAAAAAAGTGTGAGATACATACCAATGCAAGCAGATATACCAACTCCAATAGCAACATAAAGCAACCTGAGTGAGTACTGTTTCAAGTACATGGAAGAACTGAATTAATACGCGAATTTTTATCTCATGAATGAGTTAACTAACACATAGATTCTGAAATTAAATTAAGTACCTTGTCAACAATAGAATTAGTGAAAGAATTATTATCATTAGAAGCACCTCCATAATCATCAATAAGAGAACTAAGAATAAACATATTAAGAGGAGTCATTAGGCCATCTCCAATGCATCCTAAAGTACCAAAAAACATTAGCAACTTATCAACACCATCACCATATCTAAAAATCCCACCTTTCCTTCCCATTTTCTAAATTATAAATTATTATCACAAGCTCAAAATCACATAAATAAGAAAATTTGAACTATATCAGAATTAAAGACAATGATATCCCTTCAAAAGTTTGTATTTTTATGTTGTATTCTCAAATTCAGTATAGGTGACTTTCTAACTGAACAATGACTACCAGACAAGTTGGTTTAATTATTCGAATTAACTTCTATACGCTGATAATATAATAATATATTTTGGAATAAATATATTTTGGAATATTATGCCCTTATAATATTTGAGGGATGACATGATCGATACCTGTTTATCGAAAAACTACGTCGTATGTATATTGACATTTTTAGACTTCTACGCAATTTTACTTCTTTGACACGGGCACATGAACATATTTTTAGTACTATATATATATATATATATATATATATGCATAGTTCGAAAACAAAAACAAAAATAAAAATCACATATTAAAAAAGAATAACCAATAGGTATATTGAGTATGGTAGAAATATATGGTATTATACTAACAGAGAAGTAAGTAAAATTAGCTGATAACACAAGTTAAATTACTATATTTGATGGAATAAAAATAATCTACGTTATGGCCTATGGGTGTAATGTAATATAAGTAAAATTGCTGAGTGTTATTCTTGCCGGCTACTGATCTTGTTCGATTGTTTGTCATATACTTAAAATTTGTTTAGTACTTCCAACAAATAAAATAAAATAAAATTTGGCATAGTGCATTATGAACGTATCAATTATAAGTATTACTAGTCATGATTTTGATTGATCATTAAAAACCTCTTCTTCTTTTTTTTTGTTGTTGTATACATATGGAGTCCAGAGATAAAACTTTACATATATACATATATGTGTATTTATCGTTTTTCATGAGAATCTTCACTATGATATCAAAGAATATATGGAATGACAACTAAGAAAAAATAAAATATAAAAGCTTGCGGATTAAATGCATATATTATCATTATAGCTTGAAGACGTCAACTTTATACATATGAATCTGGAGGTATTTGATTAGTTTGCTGACACAACCAAAGTTGGAATCAAGAAATAACAAATTTCTTAGAATAACTAAAATATGCACGTTTAACTAAAAAACAGAAAACTTGATACTAAGCTAGTCTTCTAGATAAATAATAATTAATGAACTATTTAGATTTCTAGTAGTATAGATACTAACACATAATATTATATCAATTTTTTTAAAAAAATATCTTCATAAAATATTAGTTTTGCATAAAAATCACGAATTCACGTGCTTCATTTTTATAGCTTATAAATTTGTGTTTGCTAACAACATCGACTTTTTTTTTTTATAATCTGAAATATTTTAATTAATGGTGATATGTAACAGGTTACTACTTTAAAATATGAATATTTTTATAAATATTGTTGATTGAACTCTTATGTTGCGAAAACGAAGATGTTGTTCAGGTGGATGTATATATGTATATACTAGGCAGGGATAGACCTAAAGGTAGTTGAGAGGGTACACCCAAACCCCCTTTGGCAATAAAATACATTGTATATATATATATGGTATTTCAAAGTGATTTTATGCATGTTTATTTTTAACCTTCTAAATGTAAGTTTAGAGATAAGCTCAGTAGTTGAGGGATTCAAAACTTACCTTGAGGGAGATATACAGCATTGTAATAATTTATTTTCAGAGATTATACAACACATGATACATATGCATACAACTTAATATAATTGTATTCATTGATACACTTAATACAAAGTGAATACGTAAGGAATATATACACTTGATACAAAGTGAATATACGAGTTCGTAACCTAAATAAACCACAAAAAGATAAAAGTGATTAAAATAAGCCACTATTCTAGTAAGTAATTAAAATAGGCTTAGTGAAAGAAAAAAAATTCATTTTATGCAATATTTCAAACATTTTTCGTTAGTCTCATAACGTGTATATTTTTATATATAACATAACTATTTTTTACACCTTGTAAAATTGAATTATTTCTTTCACTTTATAAAGTTTAAACTTTTCTTACACTTTGTAAAGTCAAAGTTTTTTTTACACTTTATAAAGTGAAAAGAAAAAATCTTATACTTTAAAAAAAGTTACTTGTATAACGTAAAATGAGAAGAAATTTCGAATCTCACTCTATAAGAGTCCAAAATCTTTTACTCCAAGAGATTAGTCAAATATGAAAGATTTATATTTTTCATCTAGGTTCATTAAAACTAATTATAAAAATAATATTATTTCAAACATCATCATTTGGTTCCACTGGCTCGCGAGCAACAATCTACGCCACACTATTTCATCAGTACAAACATAAATTTCATAAATTTGATGGTGTCTAGATTGTGTTTGGATATATGATATAAAGATATGATTTATAATTAATGATTATATATATATATATATATATATATATATATATATATATATATATATATATATATATATATATTAAAAAGAGATTCATCATTTTGAATTTCGCAAAAGTAACTTTTCTTTCATTTCATAAAGTGTAAGAAAAAATATATATATATTAAAAAGAGATTCATCATTTTGAATTTCGCGAAAGTAACTTTTCTTTCATTTCATAAAGTGTAAGAAAAACTTACACTTTAAAAACATATACTTTATAAAGTGCAAAAAATAGTTCCGTCTTACAAGGTATAAAAAAATATTTCGTTATATATTAAAATATACATGTTATAAGACTAACTGAAAACGCTTGAAATATTGCATAAATAGGATTTTTTTTTCTTTTACTAAGCCTATTTTAGTTATTTATTATAATAATAGCTTATCTTAATCACTTTTATTTTTTTTATGGCTTATTTAGGTTCCTAACTCGTGAATTCACAAAGAACATATATACTTGCTACAAAGTGAATACACAAGGAACATATACACTTGAACAGAGTGAATACAAAAGGAAATATACACACTTGATACATATCATTTGTATTCGTTAATACACATGATACAAATTATATTTGTTAATACATTTCATATCCCGTGGACACGTAAGGAATATATAGATTTGATATAATTAAATTTGTTAATACAAGTATATTCGTTTATACAAAACAGAGAACAATAGTATTCACTACTATGTCTACTCTCCTCTCTTTTTCAAATTTCACTTGCCTGAAACTCCCAATTTTATTCTCCTCTCCCCTTCCTTTTAATATATAGATATGAATCGTAATCAAACATATTATAATTATACATTTCTAATTAAGCTTAAACTACAATCATATTTGAAAATTTTATAGAAGTGGCCCAAAGTTAAATTTTAAAAAATGTGAATGTTAAGGGTGCAAAATGCAAAGCACTCCATTCCTAGTGAACTAGATCTTAAAGCTAGAAAAGACAAAACGACGTCGGTAGTTGTATCAGCGCACACGGCAGAAAGGGCAAAAGATCAGACGGGAAACAGAAACAGAAGATTGTAGTAGTACCCTGAGCGAGCTGAGAGGACTCAAAAGCTTAGCGAAAATGGTGAAAGTTGCGACGTTCTTTGCTATGTCTGTAGGAGCCTTCGCTTTCTGGCAAACCATGGACAAAATTCATGTCTGGATCGCTCTTCATCAGGATGAGAAGGTAAATTTTCAAACCCTAGTTTTGTTTTCCCCTTCCTTTTAGGATGAAATAGACCTCAGAATCGTAGATTGAATCTTTTCCTTTTTGGAGGAATGAGCCAGAATTCTAAATGGTTTTATGTTTTTAGATTTTGGGTTTTTTCGATCTGGATCGTAATTAGTTTCTTGAAGTTTGGATTTTTTGGACTTTCAGATTTATGGTGTTCTCCGGAAAGGAAATTATGATATTATTGTGTATAACCTGCAGACGGTAGAAAAGCTTGAATCGTTCGCTGTTTTTGAATTAACAAAAGAAAGAAACTTTGCTTTACATGTTGCTAGTTAGGGATGTCTTTGATATGATGGGAATTGTTTTCCTAGAAAATGTTTTCTCGGAAAACAAGTGAATTTCTGGCTTATTTTCTAGTGTTTGGCAAGTAAGCAAGAAAATGTTATGTATATATATCTTATCTAGCAAGACACTATGGAGGTGAGATGTGATGGGTAGTGGGGGTTTGGGGATGGGGATGTTCAGGGGCTGGGGTAATTGGGTGGGTCAGAGGAGACAATGAACTTGGAATGCCACTTATGCAACTTGTTTACCATGCTTCAGCTAGGGAGGTCATTTTTCTCATTTTTAAGGAACTTATTTCCTAGAGTAAATGTTTTCCAAATTTAGGACAACTGGAATATATAATGTTTTCCTCCATACCAAACACACCCTTAGTTTCCATCTGTTGTTGGGACTTGGGAGGTTTTGTGGAGGATACTCATAGTTTAGTAGCTTAACAAGGGCCATTGTACCTAACAATGTTTCCTCTTTCTTCTTGGGGAACTTAGATGAGAACCTCAGGAATTCAAAGATATATTGTATTAGAATGTTGATCTGTTATCTTGTGCAAAACTATTACAACATTTAACTTATGAGCACTGAGCAGAAAGAGTGAAGAACATACACTTAGGGACACTACATTACAGGAGCAACAATGAATCAGTTTGGAACTGATTTATGCTATAGATCTACAACATAGGCCACACTCTTGATAAGATGATTGATGAAAATTATATGGAAAGGAAGAATGATCAACACATGGTATTCATTGACCAGGATTTTTAACGTCCTTTAGTAGGTGCTGGAGAAAGAAGAATTCATGTAAAATATATAGATGTCATAGAGGATTTTTACGAAGTTGTAACAAGTGTGAGAACTGTGGTAGGAGATATATGTTTACCTCAGTTATGGATGAACTAACTAATAGTGTACAAGTTGAGTTATATTATATGTTGATTTTAGACTATGTTGTGTCAAATAATAATCTCGTGAGCATGTCAACCAAAAGCTTGAGTTGTGGAGAAACAATCTAGAGGCGAAGGGTCTTAAGATAACTTGAAGTAAAATAAGAGATATGCTCTGCAAGTTTATCCAGCATAAGACGAGTGAAATCAAGGTGAGATTAAATGTGACTGTAATGCTTAAATGCTTGCAGTTCATATATCTAAATTTGATGTTCCAAGAGAACTGTATGATGGATAATATGATGTAAAACAGAATTAATAAAACATGGTTGAAGGGAAGTGCCACTGGAGTATTATTTGATAGGAAGATGCCTATCGAAGTGAAAGGGAAGTCCTTTGACAGGGCTATGGAGCCAACAATATTACATGTTAATGAGCCTCTAAGATCCAACATATCCGTAGGATGAGTGACGTAGAAATGCAAATGTTAAGATGAATATCCTTATAAAAAACAAACAATATTAAGATGGATATGCTATTATACAAGATTAGAGATGATCAAATCTGACAAAATGTGCAAATAGCACATATAAAAAATAAGTAAGAGGCGGTTATGTGTTGGTTTGGTCGTGTCATACATAGACCTCGAGATTCATTGGTTTTGAACCCATGATGGGAAGTTGTCTAAAAAGACCTATAATTTCGTGGAATTCGTACAAATGTACAAAAGATAGAGCTCAATGGTAGAGAAATATTCATACAGGCGATATCAACTAGTTGAATATAAAACTTCGTGTTGTTGGTACGCTCACAGTAGTCTTTTTTTTTTCCGCTCACAGTAGTCCAATAGTTGCTAGGAGTCAACTTAATCTTCTTGGAGTATTTGTATGTCAGTGGAAAATGTAGAAAAATATATTGAACTGGAGAAACTCATTTATAAAATATTAAAATGAAATGAGTCTAAATTGAGTGAAATGAATAGCAAGGATTCATAGAGCCAACCCCCACTAGCTTGGAATTGGGCTTAATAGTTGCTTTTGTTCTATTTATCACTAATAAATTTAAATCACCCATTATTGTGTCAATCTTGTAAGCATATGCCAGAAACTTTGAATCTTGAAGAAGACTTGGCAATGTTTTTGCTTTATATTTCAGATGCTTGGAAAGAACTAGTATACTTTCTGTTGTTCCCCTTTTCTTCTCGAGGACCTCATTAGTTAAGGTCTTTAAATATTTTGAGTAAGGAGTAGATAACAAGTAGAATTCATCTCATTCAAGTGTTCCCGCCTCTCTTGTATACCAGTACTGACCTGCTCCTTCATACTAGATAACTTGTCACTTTTCCACTTCCATGATCAAAGTACTCTAGGATGTTCCAACAATAATCTTGGAAGTGCAATATCCAAACATTTGCTTTCTTTGCCTTTTGGCTCGTAGGTGTATCCATGTTACAATCTCTTAGTAGAAGAATCATGTCGGTGATGTGACCTTCATTTTCCTTTGGAGTCCTTTTGAAGCCAAGACTGACAATTGATACCTTCATAAGGCCATTGTCAGAGTTTTTAAAGAGAAAATAGGTCATTGCAGAAATACTGACCACATCCCTAGTGAACAATTCAAAATTCTAATCAACAGTCCTTTATGCCAAAAATACAAGGCAAGAAATAGGCTTTTATCCTTCTTACTCCTGGTGTATCACTTACACTCTTGAACTTTGGACCAAAGCCTATTGTCGATTTGTCCAGAAGATACCACTTTTGGTGGAAACTACATGGTGCTTACATAACGGACGTCAGTGTTTCTGCTAGCCAAAGTGTTATCGGTGATAAACGACCAAATGAATGGGTCTTGGTAGTCTTGTACTGAATGATGTGACAAAGGTTCTTTCACTATAACATTTAGGGTTTTTTTAAAAGCTATATGCCTGTTAACCACAGCTCGCATTAAGTGTCATTGGTGTACAACGAAATTGTCTGTTTTGTCAAGTTGTAGTATGCCTTCTCTTGTCTTTGTTTTTTCTTTCCTTTTTTTCATTTTATTTTCTTTATCCTTTTTGCATAAAATGTTGATGACTATATGAATTTGGCTCACTGCAGCAAGAGAGAATGGAGAAGGAAGCAGAAATCAGAAGAATGAGAGCAGAGCTAATCAGAGAAAACAAAAAGCGGGAGTCTCTTGCCTAAAGGCTGCTGAGAATTGCGAACCTAAAGTTGCATTCAGTTCAACAATTTGTTTTTGCTGTCTTTTTGAACATTTCTGGACCTCTGCTTCCTAATTTCCATAAAATCATGTAATGATGGTCATGAATGCCTTAAATGTAAACTCAAGTTTGGACCTGTCTCAGTGCTCTGCTGTCAATAGCATGATTATGCTTGCACTGGTAAACATGTAGCTTCTTTTAATCTTACAATAAATACCATTTTTTTGGTTTGGTTGGTCTTTGGAGTAAATTATGGTGAATTGCTATTTGTCTGCTATTCTTTCATAACCTCGTTTACTTTGCTCGCATGTCAATGTTTTGAAATTTTGATTCTGTGAAGATGAACCCCTTCGTTTTCTCACTCGTTCTGGTTTTTAATTTCCAAGTGTTGTTGCAAATGTTAACTCTGCACTTGTTTTAGGTGGAAGATATAATTATAATTTCTAGCAGAGTTCAATTTTCCTATATTTGGTGCAAAGTTAGACTTGTGAGTTTGTCCTGCAAGAGATATGAAAAGTTATTTCACCAACCAAAACTCATGCTCCTGAATCAGCTGACTGCATATACATATCTATCTGTATACAGGCCCCAAACTCCTATTCCCATCCCAAACAAGATGTTTTTTACCCAATCAAGGGAGTTAGTTCTAAAAGCAATTTCAAGGTTAAAATTCCGGTATTTACACCAAACCAATAAGTGCAATATGTCTCTTTCACACATTCATTACATAATGATATGTATTAGGATTTATACAACCGACTCTAATAAGTTAATGAATTTGGCATAGTTAGTTAAATCAGTAGCATCAAGATTGTTACTACTGATTAATATCTTCTTATGAACATCCTAAAAATAGCAGAAAGTAGGCAAAAAGGAGTCTTGTGTGTCATGCAGGCCTGCAAGAAATCGTGTACAGCAGCCTCCAAATATATGCCAGTCGTCATTATCTATAAACAAACTTAGCAAAAATAACGTGGTGGCTTTATTAGATAAATCACAGCTTGATAATGTTTCACTTTTGCAGAAGTAAAGTCACTTTTCCCTTAATATCTGTTAAAGACGCTAACTGATGTAAGAATGTGATGTAGCCTTGCTCTATATAACACTTTAGCATATTAACATATGTTATCCTCATATCATAGTTTTAATAATCTTTACACTTATATTGATCAATTTCCATTTTTCAGTTTTTATCAGAGTGATGGAGGCATGGAAGAAGATTTTCTTGATTTCGCTTTCGTTGGCTATGATATTTGGTCTAGTTAATAGTTTGGAGTTCACTGAAAAAGATATTGCATCTGAAGAAAACTTATGGGATTTGTACCAGAAATGGAGGAGCCATCACACTGTTTCTCGAGACCTAACCGAGAAACAAAAACGTTTCAATGTGTTCAAGGCGAATGTGATGCATATTCATAATGTCAACAAGATGGACAGACCTTATAAGTTGAAACTCAACAAGTTTGCTGATATGACCAACCATGAATTCAGAAATTTTTATAGCTCTAAGATAAAACACTTCAGAATGCTTCATGGTCCCCGCCCTACTACCGGATTTATGCACGACAAGGCTGATAATCTCCCAGCATCCGTTGATTGGAGAAAGAAAGGAGCTGTTACTGGTGTAAAGGATCAAGGAAAATGCGGTAAGTTCAAGAAGTTGTGACCATCTCATCTAAAAGCTTAAGCTGTTATCGCCAAGTCTCCTTGATGCTTTGATTGAAAACATTGTTTTAGTACATGCTAGCTTATCCTCGTGTATTTGCAGGTAGCTGTTGGGCGTTCTCTACGATAGTTGGAGTTGAGGGAATAAACAAAATCAAGACAGGTAAATTAGTTTCACTGTCTGAACAAGAGCTTGTTGATTGTGAAAAGGATAACGAAGGATGCAACGGAGGACTAATGGAAAATGCATATGAATTCATCAAGAAAAATGGAGGAATTACGACTGAAAGGATATATCCTTACAAAGCCAGCGATAGTCGTTGTGATTCTTTAAAGGTAGATATTATGTTTCAAACAACATACTTTGATGAATATGTCAATATCTAGTTTCGTAGAACTGTATTTTTTAACACTTCTTTTATCTCATCTAGAGGAATTCCCCCGTGGTTAATATCGATGGACATGAAATGGTACCTGAAAAAGATGAGGATGCTTTGATGAAAGCTGTTGCTAACCAACCAATATCTGTTGCTATTGATGCTAGTGGTTCCGATCTGCAATTTTACTCTGAGGTAACGCGATTTTACTTTTTCAATTGGACATGAACTGCTTATGAAACCCTGAAGATGAACTTCCCATGTGACTCATGTACCGAGTGTTAAAGAATGACAAAGTCTCACATTTGTGGTTAATAAGATAGATGCAATCCTCCTTTCTTTGAGCTAGCTTTTGGGGTGTGAGTTAGGCCTAAGACATAATTTAATACAGAGGTGGATTTAGGTTTGACGAGTTCAACCTTTTAAGTTCTTACTATTGAATTCATCGCGCTCTTGAAATGATTGAACTTTTACTATTATTTCACGAATACGTATGCTATGTGTCGAAACTAACATGTTCAATTGAACTCGGTAAATAAAGTTGCATCCATCATGTTATATGAATCATCTATATCCATTATGCTCTCACTCGATTCCAATCGATTACATGTGAAAATGCAGGGAGTGTTCACTGGAAATTGTGGCACAGAGCTAGACCATGGGGTAGCAGTTGTGGGCTATGGATCAACTCATGATGGGACAAAGTACTGGATAGTGAAGAACTCATGGGGGACTGAATGGGGTGAACAAGGTTATTTTCGAATGCAACGAGGCATCGATGCTGAAGAGGGACTCTGTGGGATAACCATGGAGGCTTCATATCCAGTCAAGTTATCTCCAGACAATCCCAAACCAGCACCCTCTAAGGATGAACTCTAGATTGGCTCGAGTAACGACTCTGCTTCAGCCTGTAGCAAGCTATAGTATTTACAAAGAAACTTAGGTAAAAAGCAACACATATATGCAATCTATGAGTTATTTTGTATTGGTTTGCATGAATAAAATGCTTAGGGTTGCACATGTTTGTAAGTTGTAGCCTTTAGCTTCTGCTTTCAATCCTTTTGGCTACAGAACCTCATCAAGATTGGCTTGTGAATGGGCCACTTCTTGTTCGTATATGATAGGAAAAACTCACGTGGGGTGTGTCTGAACAATCTCCCACATTGGTAGCTGAATTAAAAAAGAAGTCATTTATAATGGTGTGAGACGAGGAAAACCATGCTAACTTTAGTTCAAAGCAAATGATATCACAACGTGATAAAAGTGATGAGATATTAGTATGATTTTTAAATTTTTTTAAATCTACACCTCAAAATATACTATTATTAAAATATTTCTTTTGCAAATACGTTTGTGAACAAGCACTTCAGTCTTCACCAACAAGTTAAGAATGTAAAACTTTGTTGTTGTATTGTTTAATCTTAAATATTTAATATGAGTGTTTGTATATGTTTACGTGATAATATTAGGCTTGCTCAAAATCGAATCGAAATCGATAACCCGTCTTGAAAAAAAGTTATTGGTTTATTAGTATTGGGTAATTGATTTAGCGGCTTTGAGAACAATTTTGATTTTTTTTGTTATTGGGTTATCGATTTTTAACGGTTTTGGAATTTTTTCTTAACGGATTAACCAATAACTCGATAATAAATTAAATAATTATACTTATACCATTTATATATAAAGTCTTTAACTTAGTGTTTGATTTCCTATTCTTATTTCTGATTGCCTCAAACAATTAGTTATTCTATAATGTTAAAAGTGTTTGTTTTTTAGTAAGATGTAACTTGTGAATCATGTGCATGGTCTATTTGGTTTATCAACTTGTTTCTACGTGATTTTCAATATTTTTTTTTGTGTCAAATCTTAACTGTTAAATCGAATCGATAACGATCAAAAATTGATAAACGATAAGTCAATATTTTAATGATTCTATAACGATTTAACACATGTACAAATCGATAACTAATAAATTAAATTGATAAATTCAAAATCAAATCAAACTAATCGATACACAATCATACGTGATATAATAAAATTACCTTTCGATAATAGATGGATATTATTGAAGAGAGTAGAAAACAAGCCAAATAAGACAAAGTGCCGTACAAAAGTGAATTTACCAAAGCTTCCTCGTAATCATGAAGTGCCCCTTTTAATATGATGTTCTAATCTTTTGCTGTAGCAAATCAGTTTTTAATTATTTATAGTATCAAGACCACTTTTATATGTATTTTAAAAAAAAAAAAAGATGCATGGGTTGGGCTCAGATGGCCAACCCGTGTGGTGTTGAATGACTCGAAAGGACCACGCCTCTCTATTTTTACCAATTGGTAGGGACCTAACTTTTTGCTTCCATATCTTTGACCATTACCACGTTTTTTTTTCTTTTTTTTTAAAAAAGGAAACTATTTATACTATTTTTTTCAATTAAAAAAATAACATATTCTTTTAATCTGTTTTTAAAAAAATATTTTCTTTTTTGTAATAACATTTTAACTTTAATTTTTCATGTGTCATGTTTGAAGCCATAAAATTAAAGAATATTAAGATACATTTAACATAATTTTTATTAAGAACTACAAAATTTAAAAAAAAAATATTTCTTTTCTTAAATTTCGTTTCAAATCAAACTATGTCAATTTAAAAAAAATGAAGGGATATCAATTTTATCTATTATCTCTAACGGAGACGGGGAATATGACTTTGGTCCTTTGTACTTCCCCTCAGAAGCTTGTGCAACACATTTTTATTTATCTAAGGCTTTTAACTCTTGGATCTTTCACTTTGGCCACTGAGGTAGACTACTTTGGGGTGAGGTATAATAATTAAATGAGAAAAGATTATATCTGTGTTGTTGTAGGTATTACGTAGGATTCTAATTAGTTGAATAAATGTGTTCAGTTTTGGACTCAATTCTAGTTCAGAGTTTGTTCAGTTGTACTTTGTGATTAGACTGTTGTATCCTCGAGGGGACAAGTCAAGAAGAACTACGGCTGGACCGATGAAAAACATTTGTTGAGGCTTGAATCTCTTTAAAGAGAGTGAGATAGTTGTGCCTTAGCAAGAATAGATTTTTATTCATTTATTTTATTTTCAATTGTAATTTGTAATCTTGTAATTTTCAGTAACATTATGTTTCCATATATAAGCGAATCTACTTGGATATAATGTATCTAGAATAAATTACAACTAATTTTGATTTAAT